ATACCTATAAACAGTATTACTACTCGCCACTCTCCCCTCAAGAAGAGAGTGATGACATCGTCATTAATAATAACACATGCGATGGTGGAAAAAGAAAATCGCAATCGATTGATCACTTTTTTGAAGCTGAATCAAAAATAAAAAAGAGGAAGCTGTTATCATCAACCGTAGCACGAGCCGCTAGAGATGGTGTATCATACATTTCTACTAATTCTGACGACGGAGACCAAGCGACACATCTCATCAAAATTGAAATGTACTGTTAAACCCCATCAATGTTAGGAGATCGGTTAACACATCTCTTTCGCGCTGCTGCGTCAGCGACATAAAGCCTATATAACCGATTTCCCGACGAACGCCAGTTAGTCTACAGTGAGTCTTCAGTCGGTCTACAAGAAGCCTACATTCCGTCTCAATCAGTCTTCAAGTCTCATTCCAATATCAGTCATCGTTACTAAGTCTTTACTATAAAATCTTTCTAAGTCCTAGTTATTATAAGTGTATTAAATTTATTGTGAATTTAATTGAATTATATTGTGTCGTGTATTAAATAGTTTTTTTAAAAAGCTCTATCCACGGTCCCGTATAATATTGGTGGCAGCGTTGGGATACGAAAATCCTACCCGAATACGTTTCCGAAGAAAAGTGAAAGTGAATAAATGAATCAAAAGTGAAATAAAAGTGTAAAGAAGGTGAAAAGTGCATTAAGAAACCGACAACTAGCCTGTTATAGTAACAGGCCCTCTGCATCATCCAACGGCCTACTCATCATCGGGTGATCTCTGCCCATCATCACCGTCCTTGTTGGCATACAAGGGTCTCTGTCTTCGGCACATAAGAAACATGAACGCAAGCCTTATCATCACTCTATCATTGTTCTTGTAAGTGATATTCTAAAAATAATTATTTCGATTGAACTCAGAGCAAAGACATTACTTAAATAATTTTAAAGCATATTTTATGTAACACTATAATATTTCTAATATAAATCGACCCATTGTTCCAGTCATTAAATAAGTCACTGTGCTACATTGTTAAATGTGATTACGTTAACATTACCCTTCGACCCTTTGTTCATTGTTGCATACCTTAGCCGATAAGCGTTTATTTTTCGATAACCTTTTTTTATATAACTAAATTACAATGAGTAAGTGTGAAGAGACTCCCTGTGCCTCTAGGAACCTACCAATGCGTGGCGAAATGGAAGAAAAAACGGTGGAAATAGGTGTATTATTGAAATTCATTAAACCTTTCGATGGATCACGGGAAAAAATTAAACCCATTTATATCTAATTGCCAAAATGCATATAGTCTCGCTTCCAAATCCCAAAAATCGATATTATTTAAATTTATACTAAGCCAACTAGAAGGTAGGGCCGAAACAACGTGCAGTATTAAAGAATTCGAATCTTTTGAACAATTTTTGGAATTTTTAAAACAACAGTTCGGCGAAAGGAAGCACTACTCCCACCTCCTGTCGGACCTACAGGACTGTAAGCAGGGTTTAACAGAATCGGTTAATCAATTTGCCTTAAGGATAGAAACGTGCCTGGCTAAATTATTGACCGAAATAAATATTTCTATCCCAACCAAAAGGAAAACGGAACTATCAGGTCGTGTAGCCGCTATGGAGGATCTAGCCCTCCACAATTCGCCATAGGACTCCACCCGCGATTATCCCAAATAGTCAGGTGTCGTGACCCTGACTCTTTAAATTCAGCCGTTAACTTTGCGGTAGCCGAAGAGAAAATCCTTTCTAGCATAGGGAAAAGACCTCAACCACCACAATCCCAACATATATACAATGATAGAAGACCGCCGCCTCGCCGTAGTAATCCACAATTTCAACCCAATTTCCGCCCCGATAATTTTAAGACTAACACAAACGTCTTTTGTCGATATTGTAAAAGCATCGGTCACAGTATAGAAAACTGTCGCAAACGACAGTATAACAACAGCAGGCAACAGTTTGGTGCGTCAACCTCACAAAGTCCACCTCACATACTCCCACAGCGTGGCGAAAACACACCACGTAAAGTTCATACCGTCGAACAGGTGGTCGCGGTAGACCAAGGATACGACGAGGTTGACCGCAATTTAAACGAATAAAGGGCTCTCGGCGGTGTCCCGCGAGCCCAAAGCCTCGTATATATTCTAAATCAATTATAAATGACACCTCCACTGTATCCAACCGACTTAACCAACAGGGTAACCAGCCCCAAACTGACAAGTCGGATATCACTGTATCTTTTGTACAAAATCCAAAGACTCTATCTCGTTCCACTGTATCCAACCGACTTAACCGACAGGGTAATCAGCCCCAAACTGACAAGTCGGATATCACTGTATCTTTTGTACAAAATCCAAAGACTCTATCTCGTTCCACTGTATCCAACCGACTTAACCGACAGGGTAACCAGCCCCAAACTGACAAGTCGGATATCACTGCATCTTTTGTACGAAATCCAAAAACTCTATCTCGTTCCACTGTATCTAACCGACTTAACCGACAGGGTAACCAGCCCCAAACCGACAAGTCGGACATCACTGTATCCTTTGTACAAAAACCAAAGACTCTATCAACTTACACTAACTCCACCGAATCTAATTTACACACATAAAAATCTGTAAAACTAATAAATCCCAAGGTATCCTACGCATCCGTCGCGGCATCATGTACTCCTAAATCACCTCAAACATCCTTGCAACTCGCTAATTCAATTCCTCCGATCCGATACTCTAAACCCACTAACGTCCCTAATCAGCATAGTCCGAAACGTAACCTGAAATCAGAAAAAGGACAAATTAAGGTTTATGAAATAAACAGTAACACAGAAAAAAGATACTTACCTCACGTTATGATCCAAACTACTGTTGCAACTAAGCCATTATCCTTCTTAGTAGACACGGGCTCGTCTGTAAGCTTACTAAAATCTCAATCTATATCGAACCTTCCTGTATTAAGTAATAAAATAATAGCCCTCAAAGGAATCGATCCCGGAGACGAAACGACTCCTACATTAGGCAGCTTTCTAATGAAAATATACACAAATTCTAATAAATATTTTACACACGAATTTAATGTTGTTCAAAATTTTAACTTAAATCATGACGGTATTATCGGTAACGACCTTCTTAAAGACTTCCAATGCCAAATCAATTACTCTCAAGGAATATTACAAATCGGTCCCAACTCATTTAAATTGAATTTTTTCGAAGCAGTATATCGACGACGAAGTGGCAATTACTCCTATCTCAATTTTTGCGAATTTTTTTTTATTTCATAGTTATACTTAAAATTACCTAATTCAGGTCCTCATGAAGACACCAGGTCTTTAGAGTCAAAATTGATCAAGATATTGAGGTGTGGCAATACCTTCTTAATTATTAAAAAAAAAATTGCTGGCAATTTATCCTATCTAAGCTGTGGCACGTCCGTTTCATGGTGATCTAGTAGCCGACTGAATGACGGTTAATTTTCGCGCGACTCATCGAGCAGGTTGAAGTTAGTTGTGCATGGTATGAAAATCTATCTAGAATCAGTTATATTTAATAGGGGTTTATATTGAACCTTATCTTAAGTCTAACTCACCTAGTTGGACTAGGTGATCTTGAATATGTATAATGATTTAGGTCGTTTCTCGCAAATAAATCGCTATGATGAACTAACTAATGCTTGCCTTCATCCACAATCACTAGCTGTTCGGAGCTCCTATTTAGCTGATGATGACACAATATCAATATACAAAAATAACTATCACACAACTGGCATTGCAGCAACCGTTTAACCAAATCGTGGTCGCTTTCTAATTTGATACCGTGAACCCCGTCAGCAGCTTAAAAAAAACGATGTCATTTCCTCTGCTGAATCAAAATTGTGAAGCTGTTTATTCTCATCTTGATAACACTTCACTATGGATAACCATTCATAATGACTTAGCAAGTCTTAGTGGTAATGATTCTGACACAGAAACCGACATTGATACAGATACAGATATTGAGGATATCAACGAGGGTAGGAAGCGTCGCCACAAGGCCTTGCCAAATACGTGGAAAAGAAACAAAGCCAAATTACGTAGGATGCAAGAAGAGCAGTACTAAGGATATTCAAAACCAGCAAATAGAATTTTTTTACAGAATACTTTAAGATCTGCTCGAATAATGGGAGAACGATGCAAGTCTGATTATTGTGTTAAAAGTAAGTTAAGAAAGTGTTCTAAAATAAGTAAAGACTCTAGAAAACAAATACACAGATTCTTTTGGAAGCAAATGAATTGGGAACGCAAAATCTAGTCTCTAGAGAAATGCTCAAAAACTGCTCAAAAAACAACAAACAGTGTTCATTACAGGCGTACAGAAACTGCATTATATTTTTTGCCTATCAATAGTGACAGATCAGATAAAGTACAAGTGTGTAGAACTATATTCCTTAACACGCTTTGGCTGGGAACATTTACTGTACGTTCATGGACAAAAGATAATGATTTTGGTATGATACCACATCAAGAATTAAGAACCTTAGTCCGCAATCCTACATCAAGATCCGATAATACGCGAATGTTATTGACGTTAAACAACTTTCTAGATAATAAAAAATAAAAGGAAATTGATAAAAAGAAAGCTGCTGACGGGGTATTTATTTTACTGAGCATGGATTTGGAATCTGTAAAGGTTATGTAGTCCCTTTTTAAACGCTAGTGCGTTATACTTTAAAACCAAATTAACAGTCCATAACTTCACAGTGTTCAATTTAATTAGTACACATTGCACTTGCTATTGGTTTGATGAAACATCGGCTGACTTAACTGCAAGTACATTTGTGTCATTTTTAGTCGATTATATCGAAATACATTGCGTTCACTAACTCCTACCTATCGTAATTAATTCAGATGGGTGTACGTATCAAAATCGTAATACTATTAAATCGTCAAATGCCCTGCTGTTTCTAAGTAAAAAGTACAATAATATCACTATAACTCAAAAGTTTCTAGAATCAGTACATGCGCAAATGGAGTGCAATTCTGTCCATGCGGCAATCGAACGAAAACTCAAAAATCGAGGAAATTCACTTACCAAGTGGTTACAGTACAATTACAAAGGAAGCACGCAGGATAAATCCTTATGAAGTTATACAAGTTGACTACAAGTTTGTAAAAAACTACGCTGATACTGAAAATTGGTATTACAAAAGTATAAGACCTGGGCGTAGGACTGACGATCCACAAGTAGTAGACATAAGAGCCATAAAATACAACACAATGACAGATGAAGTAAAGCTCAACTTTGATGAAGATTGGACTTCTCTTCCACAGAGACCCAAGATTATAAGTTCTGAAATGTATTCATCGTCAAATGTATTCGAATAGAATTCCAATAAAAGCTACAAAATTCAATCATCTTCAGCAATTAAAGGCAGTACTTCCTAACGATTTTCATGCCTTATACAACTCTTTGCCTTTCGAATATGCAGGGTTTTATTATAATTGCACTATTTTATGTCATGATGTGGTAGGTGACTGTTTCTTTAATTACAATTTATCTTTTTAAAAGGTTTATGATTGTTATTAATGCAAAATGTTAATTTGTATTTTAGTAGGTACCTAGTTAAGTTCTTAGACGTTTGTCATATTTTACTAATTTTGTAGACATTTGGGTATTAGTTCTATAAGCGAATACTTCTACTTGTGTTTTAGTTAGGTAGGTAATCAGAACATTGTAAGTATATTCAACAGCAAGTCATATCTACTGACACGAATATATTTCTTGCAAATTGAGTTGATTTTTTATCGTGATAAGGTCTAGTTAATCGTTGATTTATTATTTGTAGTTCTCAGATTTCAAGTTATCTTTTTGTTATGTGTCTTTACTTTTTTAAAAATTGGTGCCTACTTGTATTTTAGATTATTGTAACAACACTGTAGATTTTTGAACATACAATGTTTGTGATATCGTCCAGTATTTTAAATACTAAGCTTATTCCACCAATGTTTCACTAAAAGTGATTAATAAATAGTGATTATTCAATCAAAATACAGTTTTTTTTTTCGTTGCAATACCTGCTATCTCAAGAAAAGAAAAAAAATTTAAAAAAATTGTAACAATTCCTCCTATGTAGTAATATTTCAGAAACCTGTAATATTTCACTATATTTAACAATACAGTCTTATTTCTTATCTTCCTGAAACGAAATTAAAACTTTACAATGTTCCAAAAGTATACGTAAAATTAAGTGAAACGTTTTTTTCGTTTCCTGTAAAGTAGTGTTTTTTGAGTTAGGAGTAATTGCCACTTCGTCGTCGATATACAATTCCCCCCTCGCACTGAAACTGTAATCGAATGTACGGTCAATAATCCGGAGGCTCGCGAAGGAATAATCCTAGATCAACACATCTCTGATTCACTACTAATTGCAAACTGTTTAGTTAAAATAAAAGAAAACGATCGCGTCAATATTACAGTAGCAAATACTTCCGAAAAACCTGCAATAATCCACCCAAACCTTAATTTAAAATTAGAACCAATACAACCTCAAAATATCATAGCCTTTTCCAAACCGTCACTCTCCAACGTGACCGAAAGAACCAACGAAGTCCTTAACCAATTAAGAACATCCCATCTCAACAGCGAAGAGAAAAACGCTCTCTTGAATATATGCTCCAACTACTCAGACATATTCCACCTCCCGGATGACCAACTCACATATACTACGGCAACTGAGCACAAAATCAAAACTAACACAGATGTCCCTATCCAAACGAAATCATATAGATTCCCCGAATGCCACAAGCAAGAGGTCGAAAACCAAATGAATAAAATGCTAGACCAAAACATCATAACTCCTTCAAATTCACCATGGTCCTCTCCTATCTGGGTCGTTCCCAAAAAACTAGACGCGTCTGAAGAACGAAAATGGCGTGTCGTAATAGACTATCGAAAGCTTAATGACGTCACTATCGGAGAAACATATCCCATTCCTCAAATAACTGAAATCCTTGACCAATTGGGGAAAAGTCAATACTTCACTACTCTGGATCTTGCATCAGGATCAAATCCCAGTCTCATCCGAAGATGCACCTAAGACAGCGTTTTCAGTACCCCTAGGTCACTTCCAGTTCACCAGGATGCCATTTGGGCTCAAAAATGCCCCAGCTACCTTCCAAAAACTCATGAATACATGCCTGTCTGGCCTCCAAGGCTCTCGCTGTTTCGTTTACCTCGACGACATAGTTGTATACTCTCACGATCTTAATTAACATATACAAAATCTCGCCTCTGTATTCGATAGATTAAGAACCTATAACCTCAAGCTTCAACCTGACAAGTGCGAATTCCTATGTAAAGAAGGGGCTTACCTGGGACACCTCATCAATAACGACGGCGTAAAACCAAATCCAGAAAAATTAAAGGCCATATCTGAATTTCCTATTCCCAAAAGCGCCAAAGACATAAAATCCTTCCTTGGACTGGTCTCCTATTACAGACGATTCATCCCTGACTTTTCCAAATTAGCCAAACCCCTTACTTTACTCCTTAAAAAGAATACTCCCTTCAGCTGGAAGAACGAACAGCAATTAGCATTCGAAGCACTCAAACAGAAACTTATCACTTCACCGGTTTTAGCATATCCCGACTTCTCTAAACCGTTTATATTAACTTGCGACGCTTCCAATTTCGCTATTACAGCAATACTATCCCAGGGGCAAATAGGAAAGGACCGCCCCATAGCTTTTGCTTCCCGCACCCTGAACAAAGCGGAGTGCAACTATAGTGTAACTGAGAAAGAGTGTCTCGCCATCGTATTCGGCACAAAAGCTTTTCGCCCTTACCTCTATGGACGCACTTTTACCATAGTCACGGACCATAAGCCTCTACAATGGCTATTCAGTTGCAAAGACCCAGGGTCCAGATTAATTCGCTGGAGACTCAAACTTGAAGAATTTGACTACATTATCGTTCATAAAAAAGGGAAAATTAACACCAACGCTGACGCCCTCTCCAGATTTCCTGTAAATCCCATTCAATATCCAGAGTCTCAAGTCCCTAACACACAAACAGACAACTGTTCACCTCCTTCATTTGATCACATAACACCCGAAGAGTTAGAAAGACAGCTTCCCTCCATTCCTAATCCCAATAGCGATGAAATACCCTTAACTGACCTCCTCGACGATCTTGAATTCCCATTATCCAATAACCCCGACCTAGAGCCAATGAATAACGCTAATCCTTCTAACTCAATAGATCCTCAACCCTCTACAACCGATCAAATGTTTGATTTCAACGATTTCGGTCTCCAAGACTTAGGCCCCTATGATAATGACCTCAATATTAACACCGATTCGCTTAATTTGCCTTCACCCCCATCTGAAAACCTACCAATCCCTCCGAACCAACTCTCCACTCCTTTCCGTCACTCGCCTATACCAGAAATACCTCCTGTCTCACCTGACCAACCCAATCTAATATCTCCAAATGCTCCCACGCCTGAAACAGAAATCGAAAAAACAAACAGGACACAAAACAATAACTACTCCCAATTTTTAAAATCCATCTCCAATAAAGAATTTACACCAAACACCAGCCTGATAGAACACAACGAAAACTTGCTAAAATCACCATACAAAACAATTATAATCCCTACATCTATCGATCTCGATGAATCAAACCCTTACATCTCCGAAATCCTTTCAAATCTAGACAATAAAGACGAAATCCTAAAAGCTGAAAGAGAATTATTTTCGTTCCTAAAACTAACACAATCAGATAAAACAATATACTTCATGTTCACGAAGGTCCATTACTTTGATGAAACACCATACCCTGCGATATATGAAACACTAAAACAAATTAAAAACGAAATTCTTCAAACAAAAGAAATAACAGATATTGAAATTTCCGATTTTCGAAATCCATTCGACAGACTTTCCCACTCTAAAATATATAATATACTCACCAACCTATTCCATGACTCTAACATCCTCATTCATATTTACCAAAACAAAATAATATATCCCACCTTAAGTGAGAGACCCAAAATCCTCCGAGATAACCACGATATTCCAATAGCGGGACACTTAGGCTCAACCCGCATGTAAAACAGAATCCAAGACCAGTACTACTGGAAGGGAATGAGAAGTGACATAGAAGACTATGTCAAGAAGTGTAAAGCCTGCCAAGAAAATAAAGCCCTCAGGAAAATAAACAAATCTCCTATGGAAATTACTACCACATCCACCGCTCCCTTCCAACGTGTAGCTCTAGATATCGTAGGACCTCTACCCGAATCCGGACCCGCTAAGCTCCGATTTATACTCACCTTACAAGACGATTTAACAAAATACTCCGTGGCATACCCTATTCGCAGCACGACAGCCGAAGAAACCAGTGACTGCCTCATTCATTTCATCTCCTTATTTGGAATACCGAAATCAATCCTCACGGACCAAGGGACAAATTTCACTGCCGATCTTTTCAAAACTACATGTCAATTCCTAAAAAATTAAACAGCTATGGTCCTCCCCTTATCATCCACAGACTCAAGGAGCTTTAGAACGCAGCCATTCCACTCTTAAAGAGTACTTAAAATCATTCGTCAATAAAAACCAAAATAATTGGCCCACCTACGTCTATACCGGTATACTTACCTACAACACCACTCCACACACTACTACAAAATTCACCCCTTATGAGTTAATCTTTGGACAAAAGCCCTATATTCCAAATTCAATTTACGAGACGAGCTCCGGAACAACTTATTCCGACTACATTAAAATGTTACGACACAAATTTAAATACACACGGGAGAAAGCTGTAGAAAACATTTTGAAATCCAAAGAGTCTTCTAAGTCATATTATGACTCTCACACCAGGAGTCCTCCTCAATATAAACCTGGTGACTATGTCTACTTAAAAAACCATTTAAGACAGGGAAAAGCACTTTCACCTGTCTGGAAGGGGCCCTTCAAAATAATTCGTGTCCATAACAACCATACGGCCTCACTTTTAATCAACAGACGTCACGTAACTCATCACTTCGACGAATTCAAACCCGCCGAAGTGTCTGGGACAAATTAATACGTAAATATACATACAATAGTCATTTAAATTGTAAGATAATCTATATTAATTTATAAACAAATATTTATTTTTATTTTATTTACTATTATGAAATAACTTTTATTTACACCTTATTTATATATCGTTTCAGTGTCTCAACACAAGCGCAACCGGAAATGGTTCAGCCGCTTCCTTCTAGTTCCGGCATCTACTTTGATAAAATAGGGAAATTAAAAATAATAAGAGGTAAACTAGATGTTGTTAGCCATATAGACATTTCGTATATCGATTCCCACGTAAATAACCTTAA